CTCTCTCTCTCCCTCTCTCTCTCTCCCTCTCTCTCTCTCTCTCTCTCGCTCTCGCTCTCGCTCTCTCGCTCTCTCTCTCTCTCTCTCGCTCTCTCGATCTCTCGCTCTCTCGCTCTCTCGCTCGCTCTCGCTCTCTCTCTCTCTCGCGCGCGCGCTCTCTCTCTCTTGGGGAGCATAGCGTATCTTGTACCAAATCCCATGCGAAAACGTGCGTGTGGGAAGGCACATGCTTCCTTCTTGCTGTTGGCGGAGAAAACTTGCACTTCATCTTCCGCTGCTCTTCCACAGGCGGTGGCTCCTGGCATTGGCATACTTCTGAAAGTACAGAGGAACGCCCTAGGATTGGAAAAGATTTCTAACTTGGAGCTATCGGGAAGCCATCAGAGACGAACAGTTTCCGTCACGTGGGCGCACCTCGGTGAGACTTGTTGCCAGCGCCCCTTGCCCTACCTCATTAGGGTTGTCTACCTCAGCGAGCGCAAAGCATAGGTCTGGACTGGTGGATATGCGACGATACGCCTTCACATTCAATCCATGCCTCAGCACAAATCTAATAGCAAAACCTGCTCTGGAAGCCAACCGCAGCTAATACGGTGCGTTATCGTTGAAGTCTTCGATCCACCGCAAGATTAAAGAGCACAATGAACGATTATGTACAGACACAAAATGGTGTAGTCTAGGTTCCACAAGGAGCTTTGTTGGCAGAAGGCAAGTGAAGTATCTTCGCATGCAGCACCTGCCGCAGGAACATGTTCAGTCTGTTGTTCTGGCACCTTATGCTGTTGCAACTCGTCGTAGTCAAACGGTTGAGGATATCTGTTTGCGCGCACATGGTTCATCTGTAGAAAAGTTGCTTTCAAAGCGATCAGTATGATGATTCAGCCTTTCTGCATGGAAATCTGCGGGCAACGGCCCGTAGCGACCAAAGATCCGGATGTCCTGCGCAATTTGCGTAGCTCCGTGACCCTCCCTTGGCAAAAGACTCTGGGGTACCTCAAAGCACAGCCTAAAACAGTGTTGTTATCGGCTAGTTGGCGATAACCCAACTGTACTCGACTGCCTCTGGCAGGGCATCATTGGCTCTAGCGCACCAGGCACTGCAGTCCTGCAGTCGCCCAACTCAAGCGTCACACACACTCATCATCATGGTCTTCGGCTTGACTACAAAGCAATCTCAGCACAGGCCGTGTTCTAGCCTCGACTAAAAGCCATGACTTCATGACTTTACCTCCTCGACAACAAAAACCAGCGCCCCGACAAAAACAAGAGCGCGCCCCTCGACAAGGCCAGGGGTTATAACTTATGACCGAAAGTTAAACAAAGCTAACGCTGCCCCGAGTGTGGGGGTTGCTGCTGCAGGCGCTGCAACTGATTTCTGCCTGGCACGGAGCATAGTCGCTGTCTGTCCCACAGGTCGTTTTCTGAAACGATGCGCGCAACTTAGCTTTCCGTGCTTTCCGTTTTGCCCAAGTTGCCAGAGTTCAATTTTTCTATATCCAAGTGCTTCCGAGGTCCGAGTGGGCTGTTCCGATATCGCTGGCTGACAGACCGCGGGACGTGTTGCACATCACTGTGGGGAGTGGCTTTTCTTGGGCTTCTGGTACATTCAATCTCACCCGTTTCACCCCTCGGCCCAGCCAGGCAGCCAGACCTTAAGTGCTCGATATATTTGTCAACCAGTTTGGGGAATGTAAGTGTTGCCAGTGATGTACATGTTCCACACGGCAGCTGTGAAGTGAACGGGGCGCCAGGCCGTGGCAGCGTGGAACGTTAACGGCCGCCGCTCCGCCGGAGAGTGCAAGAGGTCGTGTCTTGATTGAGGCGTGTCACAATCCAGGCAAACAGTCGCAAAGCGGTGTCTATGCCCTCCAAAAGCTGCACTGGAATAGCTTGCGTGGCTTCTCTGAGGCTGTAGGCTGTAGGAGGTTCCAAAGGAGTTGGGGCACGTCACAGTCCAGGCACGTAGCCCCAAGTCAGTGTTCTGTGCCTTCTACAAAGTGCGTGCATCCAAGATATGTCATATACTTTCGACGGTCTTCTGCAAAGCTTCAAGCGCTCATATAGAGAAGGGCCCGCCCCATTCCGCGAATCACTCACGAATAGCCCAGGCGTTTGAAAGCTGGACACGCCCCAGGTCCGCCTCTTCCTCCGTGCCGCTGCGGGGCAGCTGGAGAATTTTGCTGGAGCTTTGGATGTTGGGAAGGCTAATTTGGGTCACTGTGTCCGGGATGGTCACAAGTGCCATCTGCAGTGTGATTCCCCGCATTCCCTTGTCGTGGACTTGGTGGGTACTGTTGTCAGGGGGTAGGGTGTTGTCTTGTCGAGGACAACCGGTTTTTGTTGTGGTTCCTAAAGGGCTTGTTGTGGGTATAACAGAACCTCGTCTCAGGAGGTCAGTAGTGGGGCAGCTTTGAAGGATATTGTCTGATTCATGAATCAACATCGTGTTTTTTTTATCAGATTGTGAGGATGTCCTCGGGTGCAACAACCTCTGTAGTCAAGCTGAGGACGTCGCAAGCCTTCAGCATGTCCTGGTGGGAGGCGTGTCGACTAATAGTCGAGGACCACTGTGGTGAATAGACAATACAAAGCTATGTAACAACTAAGCTTATCAAATGAATATCTCACAACCTTTGTGACGCTCGCAGCGGCTGGATACCAGTATCCTTCGCATCTCTCTCTGACGAAAAAGCACCCGGCCTCGGTGACATTTCAGAAAAGTGTGAAAACAAGCGCTCCTGAGAACTGAAATCAGAGCCCTCAGTAAACCTGCAGCAAGGCTTGGCAAGGAGCCAGAGTGGATTGCTTTGAGCTTGAGTTGACTTGATTGTCGTTTATTGGCTAAGTTAACGCTCTAGGAGCAAAGGGCATCGCTACTAGGAGCAAGGACGTAGGAGCAAAGGGAGCAAAGGGCATCGCTCTATGGGCTTCCAAACGCTACGCCCTGCTCTGCCAGCGCTGCATAGCTCGGCCCGTGGTCAGGTGCTCCCCTTGCAACGTCCAGCGCTCGCCAAAAAGGTTGCCACCAACTGTGGCTGCTGGTGGCCTGAAGTAGAAAGCACCAAGTGACAAGCGAACACTGAAGAACTGTTGCCAGTAGTACATTGAAAATTGATGAATGCTGTGTTACCCAAAGACTGGGAAAACAGACTCAGGTTCTGTCCACTCCAAGCACTAGCGCCACCCTCTCCGTGGGTCGTTTGATTTCCAGGCCATCTGCTGCTGCACTTGCAGTGCACCCAGAGTTTCGCAAGTGCCGAAATAGCCTTGGGCATTCCACCAAAGTAGTGAACATGTGACAAGCATGGGAATTGGTGTAACTCAAAACACTAGTACCCATAGTACAGTTTTGCCACGTCTTCCTGCATCAAGAAATGAGCCACGTGCATGACCTCTGTTTGGCAATCTTATAGAAGAGGGTCTAAGCAACTGTTGAGGTCCTCTTGTGATAAGAATAATGCCAAAGCATACATCTGAAATCCCTGACAAGGCTTGGGTGATTGGGGGTTCCAAGCCTTGGTAACACGGAGCTCGTGTTCTGTAAAATCTGTGAAGAAAGACACCCATCCAATACAAATAGTTTGAGAAATGTTGCACCGGCAAAACTGTCTGAAAACATGACTGTATGTCCTCTGAGCTGCCCGTTCTTCGATGGAAACAATTCATTGCAGAAAGCACAGGTGTATCCATCAGCCACAGTCATGTCGCTGCATGCTCCATACTGTTGTGATGTATGATGGTGTATGCATCTTAGGTCTTTGACTTACCTTCCCCTTGCTACTAGCAAGATGCTGGTTAGCGGTTAGCGGCTAAAGGCCTCTGAGGTACACAACTGGATCTGCATCATCGCGTCATCACACGCTATGTCCAGCTGCTCCATGGACCGTCAGAAGATTAAAGTGGGGGGTGATCTAGCAGCTAGCAGTTGCTGGCTACACTTGACCAATTTGATACGATGACGATGACACTATTTACTACGCCAGGGGCGTCATTCTTGACCAAAACTGTTTGACAATTGTTGACCCAAGAAGGCTGCACCGTCTCAGGACGCGTTTAGGTCCTGTGCACCTTGTCACTCTGACAGATTGCTATCAAAGCAGCTTCTGCTAATAGGGTTGAGTTAAGCCCTTTTTTGGCTTCAAGCAATACCAAGCGCATCAAGCTCACTCAGCCAGTGGTGCAAACTTCCACCTTGTGGAAATCATGGCATTGCCCTTGACTACCCCCGACGGTGAACATCCCTTGCCCCAATAACTGGCTTCTCTCAGACAAGAATCTCAACTTCTAAGCTGCTGACCGACCCATGTGTTAACTTGTTGCTGCATTGGGGCTGGGGCCTCGGCAGGGATCACCACTCCATGCAGAAAATCTCTCTTGCACTATATCTTGGATAGGTAAGTTTAGGTAAACAAATTGTGGCAGGTCAACTATATCTTGGACAAGCAAAATCATTCCTCAATATGACTTCCGGCACTTTTCCGGTGTTTGGTTCCTCCATTAGGTGGTGCTGGCAGCGTGAGCCTGGACGGATCGATTTGGGACCGTACCTGGTCGGGTGGTACAAAGGGTGCTCCTCTTCATGAAGGCCAGGCCGGGGCAGAATGCAAGCAGGGCAGCAGGGTGGTGGCACTACGGAGCGCATGGTATGGTGTGGGTCAGGTGGCTCTCTTCACTTGTGTGCAGTTCGATATACAGGTGTTCTTGTCATGTACAAGGCCATTGTGTTGCTTTGGAACCCGACATACAGCATTATACGGCTGACATCCAGGTTTTGACGCTAAGTTCTACTTGTGCATTTTCTTGATCGTACAGGAGTTCTGGCATAGGTAGTTTCATGGCCTTCGCTTTTTCACCGGACCTTTCCCCGACATTTGCTTGTGCAGTGCCATGACAGGATGATCTGGGCATCACAAGATCAGCATAAACAGAAAACAAAGGGAAACAACAAATATATATATATATGTACTGTATATTCATGCAATGTATTGTTTGCCACCTTCATGTGTTTTCAACTGGTCTTGTTTCTTACCTTTTTCTCATCTTGGACTCATTGAGTCGAACAGGGCCTCGCGAAGCATCTGACGCAGCACGGCGAGCTCCTCGATGCCATCGAGACGTGATGGCCTCTGTGCCTGCATGACGATGCTTGGGAAACCTGTCACATCCTATAGCGACCTGGGATAGTCCTTTGATTTTATGCTTTGGAATTTCACTAGGCCCTCATTTGTTCTCGCAACATCTTTGGATCTTTCATGATTTATATCACGTATAGTATAGACTTTAGCGGTGTGGGATCTCAATCAAGCTAGAAACAGCTGAGGCCTGAAAGTCGATGATCTTTCCATCTGGCTCCATGCCTTCCAGTTCGCTTTCCGCCTCCACATTCGCTAATAGGAATAGCCAAAAAAAGGGCAACAATGATCGGCCAAAGACGCCCAAGGCATCCTAACCTACATCCCACAGTCTTAGCCTCCGAGTTGTCGTCATCCACATTGTCTGGAAGCTTCTGCAGCTTTTGGAGGATCTGACCACGAAGGAATGAGAAATGAAAAGACAAAGGTTTATATATACATGTGTTTGATGAAGGCACTGCTTTGGAATGAATTCCGCGGGCCACTTTGAGGAGGCAGTATCTCGATTGTCTGAGCGGCCTCCTCTACTGCAGCACCTTTCACGTCTTCATCCTGGCCAAATGCTTGAAGTCTTCTCGTTGAACTCCCAGAGAGCAACCGGTTGAGACAGCCAGCGAACTGGGAGTTTTCACAGCCAGTAATGGCGCTGTAGCTGTCTACGTAGTTGTTGTGATTCCCTACAAAGGAAATCAAAGGAAAACATGACAAATGAGGAGTCCATCCTCTGCTGTGATGGTTGTTGCTGCTGGAGTGCCCACCTGACCAACCTTGCCACGAAGCGAACCACTACTATTTTTAGTGCCCCGGCTGCTCCTCACTTTGACTATGCTCGCTCTCATCATCGTTGTTGGATCCCTGTCAAATCTTGCATGCAGCGAGATCGCAAGCGGGATCGCATGGATCCAACTACATGACACGCTAACCAAAGCAACCTAAGAGCCTTTGGCATGTTGCTTGTCTACTGATTCCCACACAGCAAAGGGCTGCGGCTAGCTCTATAGAATTCACAGCCCGCCTTTTGCCGAAGACGGATAATCTCCTTGCTCTGCATGGCCAATGCTCTGAGAAGGTGAGGTAGTCCTGGAACAAATTGGTGTCTTCAGCACACCTTCGTATCTCTTTCAGCACACCTTCGTATCTCTTGACACGGGCTTCTACGAGTATCATTGCGTGCTTTTCTACTCCCGCCACACCTTTGTTTGGACATAGCTGTTTGTTGGTTTGCTAGGCTCCAAAGACCTGTCTTATCACCAGCCCTCACCGTCTGAGTTTGTGTATTGGCTAGCAGATGTCCCAATACCTAGTTAGGCCCCTAAGGACAAAGAAGGCCACACCCATTGTCGGTACGACATCTGCCTTCATCTTGGACGTTCCATTATCACCAACAGGATGCTTTGTACATATATATATATATAGGCATGAGCCACCGGCCAACACAGCATCGGCTCAAGTACTTACCAGAATCGCAACATGGATCCACCATGATTCATCACAGTCAAGATGCATCAGCTTCAACGTCGAACGAGTCGAACATCCACACATTGTGCATGTACAAAGACTCACAACGACTCACTGCAGCCATCTTGCGATCATGGCTTTGTCGCTTTCCGGAGCTTGTGCAGGGCCGTGTCCAGAGCAGAAACTGACATGCAAAGAAAGAAGAATCACCTAGCGCCCAAGCAAGTTCACGACGACAGTTGTACAACAGCATTGATCATGTACATACATCTATAATCGGAACACGTTCCATCAGAAAGTTCGCAGCTATGAAAAGATCTGCCGATGAGCTGCCCGTGAGTGCGCATGACAGGAAAAGAGTCAAAGTGGGCGGCGTAGCTGCAGAAGGGCACTTTCTAAACGCGGCGTGTGGCTCAAAGCACACAGTTCAGACGTGGTGTGCTGGCTGTTTCAGTGTTTCACTGGTGTGCGCGGCTCGATCGGGGAGCGCCCAGAGTTTCAAATTGCAGGAATACATGAGGTTGGCGCCGGTTTCAAATTCTCATATGGGAATGCAACAGAAGGATTGAAATTGCCAGGATTTGGCAAATCTGTGTGAACAGCGCATCGTACCACTACGTTGCGCCACCGTATCACATCAAATCGCAACAATGGACTTCAATCTTTCAAAAATGGTTCTTTGAAGTGCCGCCTGCCGGCTTTGCGGAAGATTTGTACATATCGTTAAAGATCGTATGCACATATGTCACATATGTATACATAGTATGAGATAGACACACACACATCAAAGCAATCACTACCAGTGAATGTTAAACAAATCCGGTTTGAGATTATTTGGCAAACACCAAGATCCACAAACGCAAAATCCATAGCTTCTCGTGTCATCATGATGAGGCCTTGAGCAACGCTGCTGGGCAATGCCTGATCACTATTGAGTATCAATTCCGGAAGTGAAAGCAAAGTTGGACGTCAATAATATCCAAATGTATGAAGAAAATAAAAAATAAATGTATAATGATGTATATATACACTGGCATCTCAACGCTAGAGGCTCTGGGGTTTCGATTCAGACAGGAAGCATTATACCGGATTCGTTCCAACACAAGTATCCCGGCCTGCGCACATCCAAGGCGAAACAGCTGCAGGAGAGCCAGTAGAGTCACCTGTATCTGAACTCGAAAAGTCTTGCAGCAAAAAGGGAATGCCGTGCTATGCAAGGGTATGCCTAAAGGATCCTAAAGGGGCGGAAAGTATGTTTACAGGAAACCAGCCAATATCCCCCACCTTTTCACTTGAGCCAAAGATCGATGGTCGAGAGGTATATAGTACACAGAATACGTGGAACACTTAGTAAAAACACCCCCCGCGGCGCGAAGCGGCTTTGCCGCGGTGCACCGAAGAGGAAGTCGTTCAGTGTCCACGTATCAACCTCAGGCGGCGATGAAATCAAACCGCACTACGACCCTCGAACTACTGCTTGCGAATGAGGCATGTCGGCACGAATGCAATCAAACTCCTACTTAACAATGCAAGACGAAAGCAAAATTGAGGCAATCGATTCCTTTTCACTGACGCGGAGCATGCGACAAGTCTTCGCCTGAGCAGCTATGGCAACTGACCTCAAAAATTGCGATAAGCAATGAGGTTTCTCACTAGAACAACGGCTATGCCTTCCGGCACGCTCGTCTCACTGGGAACTCTTACCGTTCCATGCTCGAGAAAAGCGTACACAGATTGCACAAACCATTGAATTAAATGCAAAATGAGCTGATTGAAGGGTTTACGGCAGAGCGTTCCCGCTCGCTTCATAGGGACTTTGAAGGTACCACACCAACGAATTTGATTTCCGGCGTGACCTTCCGGTCCGCATGGCGAGACGATATTCTCTGCTTCTTTCTTCCTTCTCTTCATGGCTTTTCAGCGGTTCCACCAGCCTCCCTTGGACGAGGACCACCAGTCGGAGGAAGATGACGAGGCAGCCTCACTCTGCCACGAGGATCGCCCGGAGCGGTTCCAATCCCATGAACCGGAGCCCCAGGAACCTCCCCATCCTTGGTTCCAGCTGCTTTGCCAGCCTCCTTGATACTGGCTCTTCCCCTTGCCTTTGCCCTTGCCCTTGTTGCGACCCTTTGCTTCTGGGCAGTCACGGGCACGATGGTCGGGTGAGCCGCACTCGTAGCAGAGCTTGGCGTCTTTCCCGACTCCTTTTGAGCGAGGATCGAAGGCCGTCTTCGTGCTTTCCTTTGCAGTGGATCGCCGCTCGGTGAGCTTCACCTCTGGAAACCGTCCTGAAAAGATCGTCGTGTCGGAGTACTCGGTTCCCTCGCAGGCTCGAGCCCAATTGCGTTCAGCAAATTCCACTAAATCGCTCAGGATCTGCACGGCGTCGCCTTCCGGCACGCACTCCAGGCTTCCCCATCCCTCCACAGCAACAACAGGTTCGTTGCGTGTGCGGGCCAGCGAGCACCACATCGAAAACAGCTTCAAATTGAAGAAACGATTGTGATGACATACGAACGATTCGTCTTCGATCGACATGGCGTCGTTCGGATCCCTGGCAATGGTGGGGATAAAGCACAACTTGGAGTGGTGCTCCCTTTCTTGGTCGTCAAGGGCCCTCTTCCGCTCGAGAGCGCTTCGACCAGGGTTGGCAAAGATCGCTCGTGCAAGTCGGTGAAGAAAGGTGAGTGACCCTGACGTGAGCTGCGTTGTTGCACAGTTGTAGGCAAACAACGGGTCAACCTCCAGTCGCTTCGTCGGTCCGGGCAATCCCAGCTGCTTCGCCTTCCTGACGTAGTTGACGGCCAGTCTTTTGACTAGGCCGAACGCCGATTTGGCGCCGCGCTGCTGTTCGCCCTTGGACATGTCTTTGACGACGTTCGCCTTGCGAAAGGATCTTGTTGAAAGCTGATCCAAGGCGACGACGGACTCATTGAGGTTGGCTGTCTCTTCCATCCGGGCAAGTTCACTGGCCGATCGGGCGTCGGACCAGACCTGCAAGTCTTGGCGACAATAGTCGCATTTGTGCTGGCCATCAAAGTGCTTCGTCGCGCACAAGGGTGATGGGCACACCCGCTTGGGGATCTGGACAATCTCATTCGCCATCAGATCTTCGTCCGTGATGTCGCGAAACTTTCCTTTGCCCTTGCCCTTCTTGCCCTTGGACTTGCCCTTTGATTTGCCCTTTCCTGCCCAGCCAGACATCTCCTCATTGATGATGATGCACACTTGTCCCAGCATAAAGCCGGTAAGCTCTGGCGGCGGACCCTCCCGGGACGCTTGGCTCTGAGTCAGGGCAACCTCGTCGGTAATGCCCGTCATCTTGACTGCGCCTCGCATCAGGTTGATCTGGCCCACCTTGACGTGCTGTTGATTCTGGCGGGCATTGTTCAGCATGTAGTTTCGAGCCTCAGCCAGCTTGCTCAGTCGGAACTGCGGATCGTCAGTGGAATGGCTCTTCATTTCTTCATGGTACATCTGTCGCATCTTGGCGTACGCCCTGTTGAACCAGACAAATTGGTTGTTCCGGGCATCGTACGCGTACATCAGTGCTGAATTCGGAACCCAGTCCAAACAGAGGATGCTTTTCCGTGTCGCGAAGACCCGGCAACCATGCTGCATCACAAGCTCTGTGTCGAATGCTAGGTAAATGGGTTGTCCGGCTCGCGTTCCCGCAAGCTTTCTCATCTGGGCCTTCCATGGCGGGCAGGTCGTGAAATAATTGTGAGCTCGGCCCGTCTTCTTTGGAAAACCACCAGGGATGAGACCGGAGGTGATGATTCCCTCCATAGCTGCGCGGTCGCACGAGTGGTATAGGACCCTTGGTAGTGACGACAGATACTCCTGGTCAGGCACCATGTTCATCCGTGGAAGCTTGCCCTCATCGACCATTTTCGGTACATAGTCGGGGTCAAGGGAATAGACACGCTTAATGAAGTTGGCGTGTCCCAACCGGTCAGTGACCCACCGGTTGTGGCCTTGCACCGCCTTGATACCGACTGGTTCGTACGGCAGACCTTTCCAGGTCGCTCCCACAGTATTGCCTGGCAGGCGAGTCTTTAACTCGAATCTTTCGTCTTCCGAATTCTTGATCACCAGAAGCACCTCCCATTCCCTGCATTGGTTAATGCGCTTCTGGAGGCATTCCATGAGCGGCTTCCAGGGCTTACTGCCGCCCTCCTCGAAGTCCGGCGTGTCGAACCCTTTCAGTTCCTTATGGCCGCGGAGGTGGGATGTGAGCTCTTGGGAGATCCACCGAAAACGGCCCCACTCAACATCCCGGCGCGGGATTTGGCGAAGGTGCTCGGGGCCGAGCCACACCTCTTGTCCCGGAAGCTGGGCAAATTCGAGATCCTTACTGGGATCTTCGGCGTCGATCGCCCGCAAGGTGGGTTCCAGATTAGGACGCCTCACCTGCTTCGGCTGCGCCTTGGGCCGAATAGCAAGCCGCTCTGCTTCTTTCCACTTCTTGAATCGAGCGTCCCGCTCTTCCTGTTCCCCTTTCACCACGATTCGGCCGGTTTTCTCGTCGATGTAGCTCAGTTCCTCGTAGTGAGCCTTGGCCTCAGCAGCGGCCTTTTCTAGCTCTGTGAGTTCTGGCTTCGGCGAACCTTCCGGCACGCTTGGCTTCCTGGGGCTTCGTGGCAGAGGGCTTTTTCTTCGGCTTTCCCTTCTCCGCGTCATCCTCACCAGTTAGGTCGATCTCCATGGGCTGGGCATCATCAGTTTGAGTCTTCTCTTCACTAGCCTGGCCCGGAGTCTCCTTGGCTTCTCCGCCCTGGGATTCCTCAGCTGGTTGATCGACGTCGTTTTGGCCTTCGGGAGCGGCTTCTTCATCCGCCTTCTTCTGCTCCCCTTGGGCCTTCTCGTCGACCTCCATGGGTTCGGTCTTATCGGCCTCGCCCGTCTCTGAACCCCCCGCAGACTTGAATACCGCCGAGTCCGCATCATCATCGTCCCAGTCTGGTTGTTCCTCCTCGGGATGCTCAACGATTACATAGGACTTTTCGGTGCGAACATCAGCAAAGGCTTCATCATCTGCCTTTTCCTCCTCAGTCTTCGGTGGCGGAAGCGGCACCTCAACTGGCGGGATGAATGAGCTGGCATCCGGATTCTTCTTTTTCTCCTCGAGGGCCCGTTCCCACTCATCGAAGTCGAGCGTGTCTCCTTCGTCTGGGACTTCCCATGGGAACTCTTCCACAAGCTCTTGGCCCCCCATTGGAGTTGGCAAGTCTGGGTACAGCTCTTTCATAATGATGCGATGCCTCTCATCGTGCTCACTTTCGTCCAATTCTTCTGCGTCGATGGGCAATCGCAATAGGTCATCCGGGGTCATCTCCTGGGCCAGCACGTGGCTGGTATCTTTCAGGCGCACGACATCCGTCTCTTCCTCTTGCAGCAACCAATTCATTATCTCTTGGTCAACTGCGTCCACAATGTCGGCCGGGCTCAATTCGATTTGATCCACGGCTCGCCTTCCGGCAAGCATTAAGTCAGCAGCAGCTCGAACCTCCGAGATAGTAGGGTACCTGAACATGAACTCCATCAACTGCAAATCTCCCTCGCCTTCACCGGCGTTCAGGATTGTCAACGGTTCAATCTCGTCCTTGTACTGCATCACTTGGAAGGTCCGAAATGCGCTGGTAGCAATGCTGGAGTAGACGGCGACGCGTCATGATATAAGTGTAGGATTGAGTCTCTCTCAAGAACTTTCCTCTACCTTCGGCATGTTGAATGTTGCAGCTGCATTGAAACTCGCTCAAAGCCTTACCTATGCCTTCATGAGTGGTAGCAACTGTCCAAGGCTTCTTAATAGGGAGATTATCCTTACCCTTCAGCCCCACAGCGCACCCATCGAAGTGGTATGACACGAGACAGAGTTTATCGATCAGCTTTCTGACTTTGGGTAAGCCCCAATAGGTGCATCCCCTCGGCCATTCGACGGCAACATGGACCTTGGGAAGGACTGACAGAAACTCGACCAAACTTGTCCAGAGGACAGCAAACTTCCTACGATGCTGCTTTACTTTCCGGCTTCCGGTTGGGTGGCGTAAGTTGATATACGTCCACGGAGTGCCCCCCGTGCAGGGTAGGCTAACCCAAACGAGTACTGATTCCACGCCGTGGGCTTGTATGTGATGCTTGACTTGGGCGATTATGAGCC